GTCGTACAGCTGCGTAAAGAACAAATGGGTTTAAATTTTGGAAGGTCTTCAGAACAGTTCGGTGGTGGCCCTTCTGCTTCTCGCAGACATTTGGCCCTCTGATGTCTGTCTTTACGTTAACAACAGCCCTGGTAGAAATGCTGAGAGAGCTTTCTGAAACAAAAGTGGCCATGAGCTTACTCTGACTGAAATGGGGTGAAGGGGGTGCTCGTTGAAGTTTTAGTGTCATTAATTATTCTCTACTGTTTCTGGCTGATGGGCCATGTCATCAGTTGCAGTGTTCTGGAAGGGCACGACTGAAGCTCCGCATCAGAGTGCTCTAATTGGATACAACTGTGGGTTTGTTCCAGTTCAAGACTGGGACGTTACAGCTCGGGACGGCTGCCAAGGTCCCCAGTTGCTAACAGGAGCATGGTTCCTTGTGTGTGTGAGGCTCCTTCAGCTGGCGCTCGCCGGGGAGGCTCTGCGGGTTCCAGGGTTCCCAGCACGGAGACAGCCAGGGTGGGCGTTCAGCCTTCAAGCGTTTAATGTAACAGCACTCAAGTGAACGGGCTGCTCCTCCTCTTCCGACGCCCGGGAGCCTGCACGGCGGAGTCAGATGCCTGCGCTCCGATGGCAGGGGCAGCGTGGGGTGGTGGGAGGGCAGGCTGGCTGCTGTGGCCACTGCTCTTCCTCCCCGTGTCCCCCCTCATCCTCAAGGTCTCTGGCTCACCCTCAGCTTGTCTCTGTGCCTGAGCTTCCCAAGACTCCGCTGTGCTGTGCTGCACCGTCAGCAAGCCGTGCCTGCTGCCATCAGCGAAGGGTTTCAGCACCCGTCTGAGCACGGGGATGGGAAGAGGCGAGTGAGCAGCAGCAGCACCCAACTGGCAGGCAGCAGGGTCCTTTCCTGCTGCCTGGGGAAGCCGAGTGCGGGGACGGGGTCCTCCAGCCTGGGCGGTACCTGGGCGAGGCCGGGGGGCACGGTACCTGGGCGAGGCCGGTGGGCAAGGGCAGTGCCAAGGGCTCAGAGGCTGACTGGTAGAATATACCTAACCATAAAAATAAATCAGAGTGCCTGTATTTTGCGGGCAGAGCTCTTAAAGTATTCTTGCATTGGAGATCTGTCTTTCAGGAATGCAATAAAACAAAGTTAGCAGCTGGAGCTACCTTGTTAAAGTAACATTTCAGGAAACACAAAGCTCATGCTTTGATTGTCAGCTTTACCTCCTGCTAACTTAATTTGAAAGTAGTTATTCTTTACTTATAGGGAAAGCATAAACTAAAATCAATTACTAAATTTGAATACTCACAAACATTTATAGAGAGCATCTGACTTCTATCCAGTTAGTTTGTTTTTTCATGTAGGGTGAAAGTTAGCTTCTGATGCAGTGGTGTCTCCCCACAGTTCTGCTTCAGAAATGAGGACCCGCTGTGGGTAGCTCCAGACTTTTAAAAGAAACCCAAAAGCTTTGCTGCAGCATAAGCTCACAGATTTCAAACAGATTTCAAAAGTGAATTTACTGCAAGTGTCCATAGTTAGGAAAAATACAAAGAAATTGGCACCTGAATGTAAGTGTAAAGTGAGTTGGAGGTGGAAATACGTGATAAAAAGCTTTGTGAGTCATTTAATAAACCAAGCATGGGTTTCACAAGACCCTGTGGTTTTCATGCTTATTCTCTGAAACTTTCATCTGGGCCTGAAGCAGAACCCCTTTGTGATTTTGCAGGCCCAGAGAGGCTGCTTATCTGCTCCGAAATAAACCATTCTCCCGTGTACGGTAATGGGATGTGTAGCTCTGTTCCCAGCGCTCGGCTGTCTGCGCTTTAGAATTCTCTAGAGCTCTTGACTTTATCGCGGCAGTTGCCCTGTTGAGTTGTTGGCGAGCTCCAACCTGCCGGCCCCGTCGCTGTGCGTTGGGTGGGGACGCGTCCGGCCGAGGAGCAGGGCGTGCTCTCCAGCAGCGCGGACGTGCTCAGCGCGAGGCCCGTTGTCCGCCCTTGCGAGGGGGGCACCAGTGGTGACTTGGCCAGCTCTCTGCTGCTGTGGCTTATCCCTTGTTGCTGCACCAAGCCCCTTCCATGCCAGCAGACCCTCCAGGGCCGCCTGTCCTGCACTTCACGCTTCCGCAGAATGCAGGCGGTTCTCATCGCTCGCCTTATCTGCCAGTCCTGCATAGGTTTTATTTCAATCCTCCCTTCCTGCTTTTCCCCTCAACCCTTTCCCTCCTCCTCCCTCCTCCTGTGGAAACAAATCTACAGTAGGTGTCTCCTGAACTTGCCTGAACTCCTTGTCCCAGGCACCTTCCTGAGTAATCCTTTCCAGATGTCCAGGAACTTTTACGTTTAGCAGTTCTGCTCAAGTTCCTCTTTCATTCTCAGATAGAGAAAACATTGTATTTCCTAATATTATTTGAAAAATAAGACTGATCGTGGCCTTCTGAGAAGTCACTGCCACCTAAAAACGCAATGAATGCAGCGAAGCACCACTGCAGCCTTTTACCCCCAAACTGGAGCACAACAGATGCTCATGAACAGCGCAGGAGTTTTATCTTCCATAGCTGACTGTGCTCCATGGCTGTCTATGAAGTTTTGAAAGCACTCAGTGCTGCGCTTGTACCCAGCCAGGTGACAGGGGTGTTGGCCTGCAATTTCCTATCTACAGCAGCATGGAGAAATCAGGAGATCTGTCCGATGTTCCTCCAGTGGTGACCCAACAATGGAAAGCAAGTTTCCCTGCCCATCCTCTCAGCTAGTTTCCAGAATGGCTTGGTTTTGGGGCGATGACTGTCACTTCAGGCAGGGGATACGGTCAGTGGCTGCTTTTGCTCACGACCTCCAGGTGACCTGTGCATTGTGTCTTTGATGGTGAGTGTGCCAAGCTGCATGCCGCCTCACAGTTTTTCCGTAAAGGCTGTGTTCGGCATGGGCCTCTGCGGAAAAGGGCTGTCTATCATCCCAAGGTTCCGGTGGGATGATGGGCTTTGTAAGGCTGGAAGTAATGCCTCAGCCAGTTTACGATCCTGGAGACTGCCTCTCCAACATGGCCTCTGGCTTGTCTTGAAGTCACGTCCTGCAGCTCCCCAAGTGCATCGAGTGGCTTTTTGTCCTTCCCCACTGCACGCTGTATGCCATGGAGCTTGCGGTGGTTTGGGGCTGTTCAGCAGCAGGCTGCACAGGACCGCGGCCAGGTGGGGTTTGAATATCTCCAGAGAAGGAGACTCCACAACCTCCCTGGGCAGCCTGTTCCAGGGCTCTGTCACCCTCAGAGGGAAGAAGTTCTTCCTCCTGTTCAGCTGGAACTTCCTCTGCTTCAGTTTGTGCTCATTGCCCCTTGTCCTGGCCCCGTCCTCCTGACACCCACCCTGCAGATATTTATAGGCATTTAGAAGGTGTCCTCTCAGCCTTCTCTTCTCCAGGCTGAACAAGCACAGCTCCCTCAGCCTCTCCTCGTAGGGGAGATGCTCCTGTCCCCTCATCATCCTCGTAGCCCTCCACTGGACTCTCTCCAGTAGCTCCTCATCTTTCTTGAACTGGGGAGCCCAGAACTGGACACAGTGCTCCAGATGGGGCCTCGCTAGGGCAGTGTAGAGGGTGAGGAGAACCTCCCTCGACCTGCTGGCTGCACTCCTCTGAATGCACCCCAGGATGCCATTGGCCTCCTTGGCACCCAGGGCACGCTGCTGGCTCATGGTCACCCTGTCATCCCCCAGCACTCCCAGTCCCTCTCCACATTGCTGCTCTCCAGCAGGTCAGCCCCAGCCTGTACTGGTGCCTGGGGTTGCTCCTCCCCAGGTGCAGGACCCTGCACTTGCCCATGTTGAACCTCATCAGGTTCCTCTCTGCCCAACTCTCCAGCCTGTCCAGGTCTCGCTGAATGGCAGCACAGCCTGCCGGTGTATCCACCACTCCTCCCAGTTTTCTGTCATCAGCAAACTTTTCCTTGCTTCGGGATTCACCTTAGGATGTTACGTATTGACTGCAAAATGCTGGTGGTAGGAGAGAGACCTTCCCGAAGCTCAGATTCTTGTTACGGAATGGTTTTGTGCCATCAGCAGCCTGGGGTCCAGGAATGGCTCTGTGCCAGTAGGACGAACCTGCTTTGTTATCCTGTGCTCTCACCAGCTCTGCAGTCACTGTTGCCTTCTCACACAAGCAGCACTTACAGAAATATGAAGTAACTATTTAACTTCACAGCAAAGCAAGCTTCTGTGAGATCTGGTGCTCCTCTGTCCCCCAGCGAATGACAGCCGCCTTCCTCACCGGGGACTGATACGGGATGGCTCCCTCTTCCTTCTTCTCTGCAGGCCAGACAGTCTCTGGGCCACCTGGGGAAGGCGGAATGAAGAACGTCAAGCCGGTAAGACTCCTAACCATTCTGCTATGTGAGGAATGAATCCAAGAGCCTTTGCACACTATTAATCTTTTCCAATTCCCGAGAAAGCAAATTATCTCCTCCTGCTCCCATAAATTCAACCTCTCTCTCTCCCACTTCCCCCCCTGCGTTTGAACTGTTTGCCAAGAGCTTTATTAAAAACTACAAGATGCAGTTTTGTTTCTAACTGAATTCCAAACAACTGCGTTAGGTGGAGAAGAAACATTTGGTGCAGTCAGCTTTAGAGCATTTTTGTCTGTCGTCCATAGCCCCTTGCCAGCCAGAGCCCAGGTTCAGCGCTGCAGTGAGCAGAATGGGGCCTTTCTCTTTTGTCCTGAGGTCAGGAGAAGAGTTCAAGCGGGTCAGACCTCACGGCCTCACTTCCAAGGGCACCTGGCAGCGAGTGCTGGGAGTAGCTGCTACGGCAGAAGGGACGCTGTACCGAGACACAGCGTGGTCCGGTGACGCCTCGTCCTCCCCGGCTCTGCGTGACCCAG